AGGAGGCTGCAATGCTTGGTAAGAAATGTACGCATTATCCTGCCCATGCAATTGTAACCCCTCTGTACAGTATGTTCACAAATAAAATAAAAAAACCAATAATTAAAATTTTAATATATCTAAATGCATTAAACATTAATACACTGAACATGATTATTTTTAAAAAGCAAGAGATTAAGAAATTGTATTTACTGCTTGTTTGGTACAACCAGTGATGAATGTTACCTCGAATTGTTCAAATAATCTTAGGTCCAGGGTGTTATACTTCCGTCTTTAATATAGAGGAGCTCAAAATATTGGTGGGTTTGGTACACAATACATACAAATCAACCAAAATTCCTTCTGAAAATGGAAAACAGGAGAGGACGTAAGTAAAAGCAATTCTAGAGTCTGTTCTTGGCTACTGAGCATATGGATGGAAGGTAAAGCACCGAGTCCACTGACCATAGTGGGTTCCTCAGACTGGCCTGGCAGTACTCTGTGTGCCTTGGTCAGTAACCTGAGAACAAGCTCTGAAGTAAAGACACACACAACTACAGGCATTGAGGTAAACCCGTTGTTTTTGTTTATTGACAGTGGCCCGGATACATCACATGTGGAGAACACAGTCAGGTTCAAGGGCTTGAGAAGAGGGGTATACGTTCATTTACAGGTATTGGTTTTGTTGGCAACAGCTGTGTTCTCTCCAGAGGCAAAGGATGAATAGCACCATTGTACCAAATCTGTGATGTCAAGTGGGACCCAGGTCCTCCTGACGGAGGTGACGGGTGGTGGTCCTGCCCAGCTTCTGGGCGTCCTTCTCCGCCAGCTGTGTTTACACATGCTGCACAGGCCTCTCACTACTCAGGCCCTTTGCTAAATGCTCGCTGGCCAGCCTGCAGGGTGCAGGAGGCTGGCTCACAAAAACCTGCAGGTCCAGGAGGTCCTGGGGGCCCAGGCACCCCTGGAATCCCTGCCACACCAGGGGGCCCTGGCTCCCCATCCCGGCCATTTCTCCCATAGCTGGCAGGGCCTGGGTCACCTGAAACACAGAAGGTTGTCTGTGTGAACAGAGCAAGCTCCCAGCTGCAAACCAGCACAGAGCACCCGGCCCTCATGCCACCGCTGCAGATCAGGGACTTCATCCATGCTTTCAGAAACGGTGGATGATGACGAAAACAGGGAGAAATCCCTTACTGGATTTGGGTTTGAGAGAAATTTAGGGCTGGACCAAGAGCTGGGTGTTCACACCCCACATTTCCACCAGTAGAGCCGTGCTGCGCAACAGGAAACCTTCCACTGAAGAACAGACACGTCTACTGAGAACTGAGCTGTGGCCAGCCATGGGCTGCAGGTATACAATACTGCCCGACTCAAAAGTATTGTCTCAATATGCTTTGCTTCAGTACATGGCGAAAGCATCTTTGAGGTGAGCGAACTCCTTCTCAGCATACAATGGACACATTAAAAGTACAGTTACATGAAAACATGCATGTGATACACCAAAACTAGAGCTCAGCACCTCAGCACTCCACACACACCATTTCCCTTCCCACACAGCACCATTTCCCTCCCCACACAGCACCATTTCCTCTCACTTCCCAGGTAACACAGCACCATTTCCTCTCAGCACTCAGCACAGCACCATTTCCAGGCTGGCAGCTTTTTGCTGGTTAATTGGAGATTAGAGTCTCAGACTTTTCTGCCTGGTTGTCTTTGAACCTCCATCCTCAGATCTCCTCTTCAGGTCTCAGCCCCCTGGGTAGCTAGGACTACAGCTGGGAGCCAACAGCACCTATGTAATATTTTAGGTACTTCTGCAAAGGTCTGCTTTCCACTGACAAGTTCTTTATGCTGAGATTATAAATTATGATGGAGCTCTGCCCTGCATCACAGCAGCTGAAACCAAACCTACATGCTCAATTAGATCTTGTTTAGACTTAGTTTTCTTTCTTTTCTTGGAGGTGTCCATTTTCTCCCCATTTCAGTGGTCTCGTTACATAAGTCTTATCGTAGAGGCCTGTCTTTATGTACATACCACGATATGACACATGAATATACATTAGCTGTGCTATCTGCCTAATGATTATACAGTTTGGGTTTTGTTTTTGGTGTTTATATTTCAAGGAGCCATAAAAACATTTGAGATTCTAAAACATGAACATCCATGTCACTCTCTGGACGAACACCAGGGGGCAGCCATGTAACACAGAAAGAGGTCAGGCCTGTCTGCACACTTGAGTGGTAATGAAGAGAGACTGATCTCAAACACAAATGGGGGCCCTTGTTTGCTTGCCAACAATTAATTCTCAGCGTTACATAGGCTGATGAATCATACAATTGCTTTGTAAGCTGTGTGCACAAAATGCTTCATTTCTTCCGCTAAGCTAACTTTTGTGATGTTTGGTAGAGCCAGTATACTTTTATTTTGCTCTGTTCTGTTCCACTCTATTTTGTGCCTGTCCAGGGGTTTGAACTCAGGGCCTGGGCTCTGACCTTGAGCTTTTTTGCTCAGGGCTGGTGTTCTATCATTCGAGCCATAGCGTCTGGCTTTCATGCTGGTTAATTGGAGATGAGTCTCATGGACTTTCCTGCCTAGGCTGGTTTTAAACCAGGATCCCCAGATCTCAGCCTCCTGAGTAGCTAGAAATGCAGGTGTGAGCCACTCATGCCCGGCTAGCAGCAGACATCTTAATTGAGACAAACCCAGCCAAGCACTAACACTAAGTGAACCCTGGCAAGGAGCTGAGGCAAGCCAGCTAGGGCAGGCCGGAGGAAGCACTGGAGGCTCTGGGCATCATCCACACATCTTGGGAGAGATGCTGAGGGGTCTTTCCTCAGGTAAGATGGGAAGTTAGCCAGAGCCACAGCAGACTGCTCACAGAAGTGCCTCTGGGGCCAGAGGCTTGTTTCAGCTGTGCCGGGAGGTCCCACAATGCATTTCCAGGCACACCTCAAGTTCTGCTAGGAAACTAAAATATGAGTGGTTCAAAGCCACAGACTGCTGGCGATCCTAAGTACTCAAGAGGCTGAGATCTGGAGGATCTTGGCTCAAAAATTCTGCCACTTGAGCCACAGCTCCACTACTGGTTCACGGTTATTAGAGATAAGAGATGCTTTTCTACTCAAGCTGACTTCAAACTGTGATCTCGGCCTGCTGAGCAGCTAGGATTTCAGGAGTAAGCCAGTGGTTCTCAGCTGACACTATGCTTCTGAAAGCATCCGTTTAAGAATTAATATTTCAAGTCTTGACACCTATTTTCACACAAAAGGTCCACCCATGACTCACAGATCATTTAATTCTACATTGGAGTCCTCTCCCCATGTGCTACCCAACCACTCACCTAGAGACCAGCAGCTCACACACACACACACAAAACCACTTACCTGGGAGACAAGCAGCTCACACACACACACACACACACACACACACACACAACCACTCACCTGGAGATCACCAGCTCTCATACACACTCACACACATACACACGCATACACACACAACTACTCACCTGGAGACCAGCAGTTCTCATACATACTCTCTTTCTCTCTCTCTCTCTCTCACACACACACACACACAACCACTCACCTGGGAGGCCAGTAGCTCCTGGCAGTCCTTTGGGACCTCGCCCGGGAGGACCACGTTCCCCTTTTTCTCCCAAGTCACCTGCATTTCATAAAAGAAAGGTTATTTTTGCATATGTTTTTAAATCACACTTCTGCATTTTAAACTTTAAGCCAAGCCAAAATTCCGAAGGGAAGGAGATTGCAGCAAACCAGATTGCCATCAACATGAAGCAAAGTAAAACTTCAGTTCCTCATCTTAACACAGCTAAAGCATAAACACCCAGAAGGATTGTGGGCACAGACGTGGATGCAGCATTTCACAAAACTGAATATGCATTCTTGGTATTCAGTAAAATAAGAATGGAAGGCTACTTTCTTCTTATGACAAAACATATTCATCTCAACCTAAAGCTTTACAGGTCACACACGGCAGGCGGGGCATTCAGAGGAACACGATGGCCACTGCCCCTGGGGCTGCGCTGCCACTCAGGGGTGTGAGAGGTAAAACCATCCTGAGGGTAGCCGGGTAGGCGCCGGTGGCTCACGCTGTCATCCTAGCCACTCAGGAAGCTGAGATCTGAGGATCAAGGTTTAAAGCTAGCCGGGGCAGACAAATCTTTAAGACTTTTATGTCCAATTAACAAGTGAAAAGCCAGAATGAATGTGGGGCTCACATGGTAGAGCGCCAGCCTTGAGCAGAGAAGCCAAGTGAGAGCTGGAGGCTCTAATTTCAAGCCTAATACTTGTGCTCACACACACACACACACACACACACAGAACTGCTCTTACTTTCAGGTGATATATTTTAAAATTAGAAAATCGATTTCAAAGCTGCTACAAACAAAAATCTGAGTAAAGTATCAGGGTTCAAAATTAAAATTAATATCTGAAGATCAATGTTTAGGTACAAATGGCAGTTATAAGATAATGTAAAACATACCACAAATAATAGAAATTAAAATATTAAATAGCTAGAAACAAGCTTGATTGGAAATGTACAAGTGTAACAAGAAAGAAACAATGTTTCTAATGGATACCAAAAAAAGAAGATTGTAAATACTTTTAAATGGAATGACATCTTTATAAAGATTGTCCATTTTTCCTAAGTTAAATGTCCATCAAGACCCCACCCCCAAAAGCCCCCGGTGGAGGGGATGGTGAAGTTTGCTTAGAAAAGCATTTCAGTCAGAACAATGTGGGTCCCCTCCTTCAAAGGGAGAAGTCCTGAGTCCTACCAGCTATGAACATAGTTGCTGGTCTGTGAGGAAGGGGGGGGGTCTGCGTTCGATGAGGGAGGGGACAGTGGAGGTCAGCTGGAAGGGAAATCAGGGCCGGTCCCCTGGGCCTCCGCCATCAAGGAGGAACGACAAGCAGAAGGAACTGCGGAAATCCTCCTGTAACTTTAGTTGGCCTTGATTTATCATTCCAAATGTGAAGAAAGGCTGGGCGCTGTGGCTCATGCCCGTAACCCCAGCTACCCAGGAGGCTGAGACAGGATGAGCGTTCAAAGCCAGCCTCACAGAAAAGTCCTGAGACACCCATTTCCAGTGAGCCACCAAAAAGCTGGAAGGGGAGCTGTGGCTCACATGGTAAAGCACCAGTTCTGAGTACAAAGGCTGGGAGGGGAGCTGTGGTTTGCATGGCCGAGTACCAGGCCTGAGTACAGAGGCTCAGGGCAATGTCCAGGCCCTGGATTCAGCCCAGAACTGGTACATGAAACACAAAAGCAGGATCCCCCCCCCTAAGGTGATGGGCAGCAAGAACATAGACAAGTGCTTTCTCTAGGCCAGCACTCAGCCTGGGGAGGCCTGGCCATTACCGTGGCCAGTACAGTGCGGCCACCCTCTGGCCACCCTGGGGTGAGGCCAGAGAGAGCCCCACACTGTAGCCCCACACCGCACTGCACCCTACCCCAGCACACACCGCACTGTACCACACTATACCACAGCCCTGCACCGAAGCCTCGCAGGCTGCGTTTCTGAAGCAGGAGACAGCATGGACAAGAGGGAGGGAGGGAGGGATTCTCTCTCTCTCTCTCTCTCTCTCTCTCTTTCTCTCGAACCAATTGGTTCAATCTCTGAAGCTTTGAAACATTGCCAGACTTACAAGAAGCCCCAGTTAAAGCTCATTCTTTTTTTGTTGTTGTTGTTTTGTCGGTCGTGGGGCTTGAACTCTGGGCCTGGGCGCTGTCCCTCAGCTCTTCAGCTCAAGGCTAGTATTCTACCACTTGAGCCACAGCACCACTTCGGTTTTCTAGTGGTTTATTGGAAATAAGAGTCTCACGGACTTTCCTGCCCAGGCTGGCTTTGAACCTTGATTCTCAGATCTCAGCCTCCTGAGTAGCTAGGATTACAGGCATGAGCCACCAGTGCCCGGCAAAACTCATTCTTTAACATGCAGTTTTGCACATGCCGAACAAGTGATTGAATGAATGGTCCTGGCTGGAGCTGGCCAGGTGGCCCCTTTACCCCTTCATGGCCAAACTGGCGGCCTGCTTGCCCTCCGACCTTCACTGGAGCACCATGACCTTCAAGGGAAAAATCTGGGTATGCCCTGTCCCCCCCCCCATTCCCACCTGGGAAAATTCTTACCTTTAGGTCCTCTCAGACCAAGAGCCCCAGGGGGACCTTTGATCCCTGGGAGGCCCCTGATCCCCATCTGACCGGGGAAGCCATTCTCTCCAGGAGGGCCAGGAGGGCCAGGGGGACCCGGGCGCCCAGGGAGTCCTGAGATGCCCACATCAGGGCGCTTCAGACTGGCAGCCATCTCTGCAAAGTGTTCTGAAAGACAGCAAATGACCCAGGAGTAATTCAGATCAAGTGTGCATGCGTGCATGTGTGTGTGTGTGTGTGTGTGTGTGTGTGTGTGTGTGTGTGTGTGTGTGTGTGTACACACACATGCATATGTGTCCCCAACTTGGCAAAAAATAAAAAGATAAAGAAAGGCTAACTCAGAAAAGCACTATTTTATTATGAAGCTATGAGCGACTGTAAATGATAATTGGTAAAACAACATTGGCTTTAATACTATTTAAAACCTGCTAGGTGGTCAGTGGTTTAGGCCTGGTAATCCTAGCTACTCAGGAGGCCGAGATCTGAGGATCAGGGTTCAAACACAGCCTGGGCAGGAATGTGTGAGACTCTTATCTCCAATGAACACCAAAAAGCTGGACGTGGAGGTGTGCTTCAGTGCAAAGTACCAGGCTTGAGTGGACATGCTTTTGGATCATGCTGGGGCCTGGAGTTCAAGCCCTAATACTGGCACGTACACACCCACACATGTGCCCACATGAGCACACTTGTGCATGCAAGTATGACTCAAATCCTCTCACTCTGAAAGCAGACAGCGTCCCTTTTATTTGCCATACAAACTGCAAGGATTAAGTCAGGCAGCAGGAGTTCACGGGCTTGGGCTGTGGCTGACTTGCTCACCACGCAGGAGTTAGTGTTGTTAGTGTTGTTAGCGTCGGCGGGACTCAGGGATTGTGGCTACTCACCCTGCATGACTCTCATGCAGACCTGCTTGATGTGCTGGTCTGTCGGACCTCTCCCCTGGGCAGGAATGGAAAGGTGGTTCACCGGGGAAGTGCAGGCGATGTAACCCAGGAAAGACCCAGGGGACAGGATTTCAACCTAGCCCACCGGGCAGAGGCCCCCTGCGGCTGGGCATCATCCAGAACCCTCTGCAGCGGGGCATCTCCCGGAACCCCAGGACCATCCACTCACCGGAGGGCCCTGGATGCCAGGCAGGCCAGTGACGCCCTGCTCCCCCTGCACACCCCGGGGCCCCGGTGGTCCTCGTGGTCCTTCGACTCCTGGAAGCCCCCGACTTCCTTCTGGCCCCCGCAGGCCGGGCTCTCCAGGGCTCCCAGCCTAGAAGAGAGAGAGTGGGCACAGAAGGCCAGACACCTTAAGGCGTGTCCCGCTGCCAGCACCAACACCAGGCATTCCTGGAGCCCACGCTCTATGCTCTGCCTGGTGAGGAGGCAGCCCAAGGGAGCACCACGCATCCCAGGGGAGCACCATGCACCCCTGGAGGAGCACCCCAACAACCAGTCAGTCTCCTGAGAGCTCCAGTTATAGCAAAGCCGTACAAGTGTGTACAATTATTGCCATTTCCAAATCTTCACTGGAATAACACTGCTTCAGATCGCGTCTTCCCAACTCAAACTACTCTCTAGGATCTGCTCTGTGGGTGGGGTTGTTTTGGCTTTCTTTTTGTTGCTTTTGGTGCTGGGGCCCAGCCCAGAGCCTCGCACATGCCAGGCACACGCTCTGCCCCTGAGCCTGGCCTCAGTGCCACGCTCCTGACTTTCATAAAGCTTCTTAGAAGTTTATGTTCACAAAAAATAAACAATGCCATGGTTCCTCTATTTCAACATCACTCCTGCAACACACATAAAACAAACCTACCTCAAAAGTGTAAGTTGTTTAGCTTTCATTACTTTTGGGTTAATTTGAAGATACCAAACATGAACATAAACTAAACCAATGCATTTACCACGTCTAAAATGTGGCATTAAAACACTTTGCCAAGCCGGGCACCGGTGGCTCACACCTGTCATTCCAGCGAATCAGGAGGCCGAGATCTAAGGATTGCAGTTCAAAGCCAGCCCAGGCAGAAAAGTCCATGAGACTCTTATCTCCAATTAACTACCACAAAGCCAGAAGTGTAGCTGTGGCTCAAGTGGTACAGTGCTACTCTTGAGTGAAGAAGCCAAGGGCCTAGCACAAAGCCAGAGTTCAAACCCCAGTACTGACATACACACAAAAACGGGCTTTGTGTGCCTTTCTGAGCCTGATTTCATTGTGCTTCTTGTTTCTCGTGCAGCATTTTGAGTGAAGGAGGGTGTGCTATTTACTCAGGGGACAGTGGCTGCCATGCTGTCAGCTGCTTGGGTATACGCTGGGAAATGGAGACCAAACCAGAAATAAGAGGCCCGGGCTGGCTGGGAGCTGGGGGCAGTGGCATGGCCTCTTTGCACGTTTCTTGGTGTCTCACAGTGTTTGTTGCATTCCTTTCACATGAACGCCCACTTCAGGGTTCCTATGAATTGTTTCCGATCCAACTTGTAAGGACACTGCTTAGTTTCCACAAAATGACAAAATAAAACATGCTGATCATGTTCCTTTCTAGTTCTTCATCGTCTTCTGCTTATGCCACCAGCTTACTTCCTTGACTGGGACACATATGAGACTAAGAAAGATACTGGAATATTTTATAATACTGTAGCTGCCAATAAAATCCACTTGTATGATCAAAGCAAGACCCAAGCTAGTTCTTTAAAAATGACCTATTTGGTGAGCAGAATAGAGCCTACCTTGTAACATTCATAAACCCATTTACAGTATTAAAAACATTCCATTTGGAGTGACTAATTTAAAACCAAAGCATGGTGGTGCATGCCTGTAATCCCAGCACTGGGAAGACTAAAGCAGGAAGAGTTCCAGTCTATACCATGCTGTGTAGTAAAACCCTGGGAACATGGCAGGTAGATTATTTCCATTGCTGTGGATTGTACTGGGTTAAGTCATTATTTAGTAAATTTGGGCATTTAGTTCCTTGAAGCTAAGCCCTCTAAGAATTAAACTTAAGAATTAAATTCGTCTAAGAATTAAAGCCAGAGCCTTTCCCGTGATGCAGTTTTATTGATTATGACCAGGGGTACTGTTGTTGTTACTGGCAGCACCAGGGATTGAACTCAGGGCTTCATGCTTGTTCAGCAGGTGCTCTACCCCTTGAGCCACAGCCCCACAGTGCCTTTCCCCATGTTTTCAAGGCAGGGTTCACTTTAGACCTGGGCTGGCTGTGATGTGTGTCTCATCTCTACATCACTGGACATAATAGGTGCACAGGGCACCAACCTTCCCCCCAACACACAGGCCACCTGCAGCCATATGACTGGCAGGTGCCACCCTGCACAGGCCTGGAGATGGACCCAGTCTCTCCAGCTTCCTTTTTGCCTGGGCTGGCCTTGAGCCCCAGTCCCTTGATCTCTGTCTACAAGGAGCCAGGCTTGCAAGCTGGAGCCACTGCTTTGGCTCATATCCTTAATTTTATTTATTTATTTATTGTCGGTCGTGGGACTCAAACTCTGGGCCTGGGCGCTGTCCCTCAGCTCTTCAGCTCAAGGCTAGCACTCTACCGCTTGAGCCACAGCGCCACTTCCAGCTTTTTCTACTTATGTTGTGCTGAGGAATCAAACCCAGGGCCTCATGCATGCAAGGCAAGCACTCTACCACTGAGCCAACTTCCCAATCCAGTTTTCCTTACTTTTTAAATTAAATTTTAATTTAAAATTTTTCATGAAAAATTGTGGATTATACTTACAGATCCCTTTGAGCCAGGCAATCCCATATCTCCCTAAATTTGTAAAACAAGATTACATTAGAGCAATATATTCACATTCGATAGCTCCCCACCCAAAACATTTAAAAAAGAAAAAGCTACTGAACTATTGGAACACAAACACCATAAACTCTGGAACTGCAGAAAGATTTTAGCTCAACAGCTGGATTCTAGTTCTGATTCTGCTACTTGACGCTGTGGCCAGTGTGAGTGGGGCTGGCCCGGCCTCTAGCAACACAGGCAGGGCTGGGTCAGACCTGCCCACAGATCTGTCCTGGACTCAAAACATTCAGGTGAAAGATGTAAGTAACATCCTGTCTCAACGTGTAACAGGCATCTGAACCTATTATGAAAACTTAGCTTTCAACACTAATTATTTTAAATTCATTCCCCCAAAGCCTAAACAACATGTACATGCTTTTAAGCTTTGAAAAAAAATTTAAAATCTTCCCATCATTCATTCTAAATGAATTTAGCTCAAGTGCTGGTATATCAGGTAATCTCTAATATAAAATACAATGATTTCAAACATTTTCTGAGCTCAAACAATGAATAACTTTTACAGAAAGTACAGAATAATCTTTGTTAATTTTCTTCATTCTTAAAATAATAATCTGCCCAGTTCAGATGTTCTATCTACTTGTATTCTAAATCTTGAATGCCTGAATTACACATTACCAGAATTTTGTCCAGCACTAAGATTCCCAAAGCGATTTCATGAACAGCTGCTCACCCTGAGTCCCCAGGAGCAAGATCTGGGTTTCCAAGTGAGGCCATGCTAGGTTGTATGTGAACCCTTGCATGTGCCCGCAGACCCAGACACGCGGTGGACAAGAACGCGCGTTCCCCCTCCATAGCTGGAACTCTTGACAGTGTCATCCTGTGCAGATGGAGGGGACCTCTTGGGTGGGTTTGAGGCAAACCAAAGTCTCAGACTCACTGCCCCCCCCTTGCTGAGCTCTGCCCGGCTTTTCCTGCAGAGGCTGACAGCACAGTCGCCAAGGTGCCCAGGTCGAGGCCAGAGGTGTCTCCGTCACCCAAGTGTCAAGAGAGCTAGGGATGGGGGACCCTCCAGCCAAGGCCTGGGGATAGGACTCCTCTCCACTTTCCTGTATCTTACCTATCATTTGGGAGTCTTCAAGGGTGGACTTTAAAGAAGGTGATGAAGTGAGTATGACCGTATGATAAAAATATGCACGCACATGTTCATATGTGTGTGTGTTTCTAACAGAATTCAAAATTGATAAGCAGTTATAAGAAAGTAAAAACAAACTCACCAGGTCGCCTCTTTGTCCCGCTTCCCCCTCCTCACCAGAGGCTCCCTGAAAAATCACGGCAAAAGGTCACACTTTTCCATCTTTGTCCCCGGGTCAACTTTACCCAGTCACTAGCCTTAAGGTTATAGAAAGAAAATGCCCTTGGTGACGTCTCAGTGCTGGAGGCCAGGCCAAACTGAGGGCAGAGGCCAAAAGGGAGCCACAGGTGAGGCTGACAGCTCTTACCAAAGTGGAGCTGAACCCAGGTGTTTACAGTAATGAGCACAGCCCACAATCTTGTAATCTGGCAAACCTGAAAGAGGCCTCTGACCGCAGGAAAAGGAGCCCAGAAATAAAAATAAAGAGCAGTATGCTGTCACGGCTTCTGTGGAAAGCAAGTGTGAGTTTCACTCACAGCAATAACAAAATGAGCACCAGGAAGAGAGAGCAGATCGTGGAGGGGGGGGGGCACAGGGAAGGGGCGGGAGAGAAAGGAGGCAAGATGCAGCCGTGGTATCCAGTGTATGTGTGACAAAATGGAGCTGATAAGTTGAGGGGGGGCTGGGGGACACGGGGCGAGAACAAGGGGAGAGGTAACATTGATCCAAATGCACTGCACTCACAAGCTGGGGTTTTGAATGGCAACAACCTCTTTGTACAGCTACTTAAAAGATAATAGAGAAGGAAAGAGAGAGAAAGATAGAGGGAGGCTGGGAGAGAGAGAGGGATGGAGGCTGGGAAGGAGGGGAGGAGGGAGGGGAAGAGGGAAGGAAGGGGGAGGTAGGAGGGAAGGAGGGGAGTCAGGAGGGGAGGAGAGGTGGGAAGGAAGGAAGGAAGGAAGGAAGGAAGGAAGGAAGGAAGGAAGGAAGGAAGGACATCATTTCACACCCCTAAGCTGGCGGGTAGCTGCTGTTCGGCTCCCGTCACGCTCTGCGCTCACCTGTTCTCCCTTTGGGCCGGGCTCTCCGGTCACACCCTGTTGTGGACAGAGCAGAAACAACACGGCTTTGGTACTCTGAGGTGCTTGCTGTCTACCTAGCCCCCCTCACTGGGCTGGCAGGCATGGCATGAGAAACACCCCTCCCCATGTCTCACGAGAACGGGGTCCCTGACGCCACAGGGGCCTCTGGCACAATTTAGAACTAAGTACGCTGCAGCTGCAATTCTTAGGTAGACTTCTGTTCTTCTGCTAAGTCAACAGATATTACTTTTTTTTGTGCGCCAGTTCTGGGGCTCAAACTCAGGGCCTGGGTGCTGTCCCTGGAATTTCCTGCTCAAGGCTGGTACTCTACACTGGGCCACAGCTCTACTTCTGGCTTTTTGGTGGTTAGAGATGAGGGTCTTGGTCTGCCCAGACTGGCTTCAGACTGAGATCCTCAGATCTGAGCCTGGGGAGTAACGGGGATCATAGAGGTCAGCCACCGGCTTCTTGACCAAGCCTCGGAGCTTGCACAAACCTTTCAGGGTGGACTTCTCTGACACACCCTAGAAAGCATCTTCACTGGGCCCAGAGCAAGCTTGGTCTGGACAGGCACCAACCCCCTCGTCAATAAGGCCTACAGGTGCTGGTAGCTTACCCGGTCACCTTTCATTCCCGGGAGGCCTGGGGGCCCAGGCAAGCCGGGGAGGCCCGGGCGGCCCAGGGGGCCCTGGAAAACAAACAGAGCCCCAAGTCAGGGTCTCCACAACACAGAGAGACCACAGCCAAACATGTGTACCGCATGTCACACGACTCACCTCCACATGCACACTGCACGTCCATGGTTAGCATTGCATAACTTTGGGGGTACACCACACATCACGTGACTGCCACATGTGCGCCATGTATTACACGACTTTCACATGTGCACCACACAGCTGAACTTCACACATGTACCATGAGTCACATGGTTAACACATCCTCCATGGTACCCAAGACACAGTTTTGAAATTCCATGTTTACATTTTCACACATGGATCAAGCGACCAAAATAAAAGGCCACTGACTAAACAGCCTTTTGTTAATTAGTTTCCTCTCGTGCTTTTGTTTATTTATTTAGTGCTGGTATTGGGGCTTGAACTCTGGGCCTGAGTGCTGTCCCTGAGCTTTTTTACTCAAGGCTGGCACTCTACCACTTGAGCCACAGTGCTACTTCTAGCTCTTTGGTAGTAATTGGAGATAAGAATCTCACAGATTTCTCTGCCCAAGCTGGCTTTGAATCTTGGTCCTCATATCTCAGCCTCCTGAATAGCAGGGATTATAGGTATTAAGCACTGGTGCCTGGTTCACACTTGTTCTTAAAAAGGTACTCTTAAAAAACTGTTAAAAAATGTTTTCCTGAAAGCAGATTGGAGCCTTACTTACCAGTTTGCCAGGCAGGCCTGGGGACCCCGCCGGTCCTGTCTCTCCTCTGCTGCCCTGGGAAGCCACACACATTACTATCTATTAGTTAGCTGCCCAAATCAAATGTTTAAGCACTATGTGAATGAATAACATTCAACCTGTATTTTTATTTATTTAGATATAAAAGTCATCAAAATATTCTCCCTTCAACTGAGGGCAGAGGCGTCTGACATGGCAGGGAGTCACTTCCTGACCCTTCTGGTGCCTTATGTACAGAATGCAGCTCCACGCTGGACTCTGCATTCCTGCAGTGTCGAGACAGGTTTCAGATTGTGTGTGGGGTCTGGAGCACAGAGTCAACTTTCAGCCCTGCAGAACGTGCTAAAGCAATGCCTGGCAAATGACCTTCTACCCCAGAAGAGCAAGAAAGAAGCACAGACAGAGATGTTTGCCTGAGAGCCACTTCTGCAACTCCAAAAAGACACAGATCTTAGAAACTGATGAAGAAATTAGACTTCCTTTCACTCATTCTCACTCTAAACATGTCTTAAAGAATTAAGTTCAAATGAGACATGCAACTCGTTATGAATACACATCAAGAGCAACATTTATTTTACTTTTTTACTTGAGATCTGAGTTTGAAAGTGTGTGACATCCTAAACTGGTTTTAAAAAAAAATTTGAGAAAGACACATGCATTCATCAGCTTTGGCTTTTGAGAATTGCATAGAGTCTTATGCAGTCTGATAAAATACTCGTTTTATTTCCAACATGTTCAGCTCAACTGAACACTGAGATTATTAGCTAATAATCACATTTCCTGGGAATATCTCAATGGCAGCGGCCACAGCAAACTTGTTAAATGACTGATCAACTTGCACAGTCCAGCAGCTGTGATGCTAAACTTACCCTCAGCTGGGACAGAAAGATAATTCTTCGCAGTGATTGATATCTGCAAATCCCTTTCTGACTGATAGCAACAGAATCAAAAGGAGCCAGAGTAAAGACAAACATCTGCTATCAAACCCATAAGATCAGCCGGGTGCCTCATGCCTGTAATCCTAGCTACTCAGGAAGCTGAGATCTGAGGATAGAAGTTCAAAGCCAACTTGAGCAGGGAAAAGAATCCATGAGACTCTTATCTCCAAGTAACCAGTAAAAAGTTTGTGATTCCAGTGGTAGAGTTCCAGCTCTGAGCATAAAAGCCAAGTGAGAATGTAAGGCTGGATCAAGCCCTAGTACTGGCACAAACAAACTGTAATCACATGAAAGTACTTTTTTCAACCGGAAATAAGAGCAGAAAGTCATTGTGCCTCTTAAACACCTCGCTTCTGTCTCCTTTCACTGTAAAGAGGAATTCTATATACCTAAATAGCAGTCCTGCATGGTGTTGATCAGCACCAATGGATGGGTGGCATGCACAGGCTTGGGGAGGACCACAGGGGAGGACGGGCAGTGAGCAGAGTTTGGGGAATGAAATACTCACAGGAAGCCCCCGGGGTCCTCTGGGCCCCTCCTCTCCTGCAGGCCCCTGCTGGCCCTGGTCCAAGAACAAGAACAGAGGGAGCGTCAGTCAGTCAGCGTCACTTGGTGACATCCCCTGATGAGAAGGGAAGAGGGCGGCTTACCGGTTTTCCAGAATTCCCTAACAGGCCAGCCTTCCCTGGAGCTCCCGGGCTTCCCTGTGGGTGAAGCGAGCACTCAGAACAGCCCTAGCCATCCGGCCTGGCCCACACCACGGACGCCTGGTATATTTGAGGAGCCTTAATCATCTACCCTGTGGCAAGCTGAGAGAATGTAACTCTCTTCCTTCTGTTTTGTGTGTGTGTGTGTGCTTTCTTTCTTTTCATTTTTTAAATTTGTCTTTCTCTTTTTTTTTTGGTAGAATTTCTTAATGAATGCCTCCACATCCTGTAGGTATTGTCTAAGAAGTATATTAAAGGTGATAGGTTAACATTTCTTTATTTAAAGGGATCCCTAGCTGGGCAGAGGTGGCTCATACCTGTAACCCTAGCTTCTCAGGAGGCTGAGATCTGAGGATCACAGTTCAAAGCCAGCCCAGGCAAGAAAGTCCAATTATCCACCAAATTAACCACCAAAACGCCAAAAGCAGAGCTGTGGCTCAAGGGTAGAATGATAGACTTGAGCAACAAAAGCTCAGAAATAGCACCGAGGTCCTAAGTTGAAACACACACACATACACACACACACACATGCACGCGCACACACACACACACACACATGCACACACACGCGCACACACACACACACACATGCATGCGCACACACACACAGGAATCCCTTTTAACTTGAAGATTTTTCTTTCTTCACAGTATTGGTTATATGGATGTTTACCATTTCCAGCATACTTCCTTGGAGCCCTTTTACTCTTATTGATACTGTTAATTTTTTAAAAATGGAGTGGACACGAGGAAACAAAGAGATTGCTATGGAGAACACCTCACCACCCTGCTTCAGAAACAGCGTGCTCTGGGAGAAGCCAATGCCATCCACCTCACAGGCCTTAGTGGGGCCCAGCGTGCTCAGGCGTGTACCCGTGGGCCAGTCCACACGCACCACTAGTGCCAGCTTTGCACAAGTATAAGTTACCTATTCTATTCTAAAGCAAAATTGCTTTTTCTTTCATTTTTTCATCTGTTGTTTTTACTAGCTTACCTTTTGATGTATGTAAAATAAAGTAGTGGCTGATATAGACAAAATACCATCTCTTCAGCTAAAGCTAAATTATCTGAATAACATCATAAGGCTCTATGGCACCATATCTCCCTCACTTTAAATAGTAAGAAATAGTAAGACTATGTTTTATTCTGGCAACGGATAACATTCTCACATAGGAAGTCTAATTTTCAAGTAGGAAAGGATTAGCATTTGAAGTTGTTTACGTTCGGTATTTCTCCTGGGGGTTAAATATAAAGTAAAAGGTAGAATGGAGATATTAAAAAGCATCAAGTGTGTTCTCAAAGGAAACATATTAGTTAAATTTACCTTTTCACCAGCAACACCCTTTGCACCAGGAATTCCAGGTACACCCTGAAAAAAGTGCACACAGAATCTGCTCTCAGTCACCTCCCCGAGATGCGCGGCCCACTGCCGCCAGAGCTCAGACAGCAGCGGTACGCTCAAATGCTCGCGTCAGGGAGCAGCCCTCATTCCTCAGCTCAGTCGGGTGTCCTGTGCCCACCGCGCACAGGGCATTGCGCATCTGTTATCTGGCTTGGTCAGATAACAAACCCTGAAGAGAATCCTACGTATGAGCTAAAGTCACCTGTGAAAGATGCGCTTCCATGCTATGGTCTATCACCACGCTCGGGTCAGCAGTGGCCTTCTCAGGCAGAAGAACATTATACAGACAGCACATGGCTTGGGAACAGAGTACAAAAGGAGGAGCGATGAATGAGGTGGGCTTTGGAGTGGAAGAGAGAATGGCAGAAGGATGCCAGGCTCCGGATCTGGCACTCCACACTGCCTCTGATGCCAGCCAGGCGCCAGTGGCTCATGCCTGTAATCCTGTCTCCTAGAGGCTGAGATCTGAAGATCTTCGTTGGAAGCCAGCACATGCAGACAAAGCCTCGAGACTCTTATCTTCCACTAACTAGCAAAAAGCCAGCACGGGAGGCTCAACTGGTAGAGTGCCAACCATGAGCAAAAAGTGGAGTAAGAGTGTGAGACCCTGAGTTCAGGTCCCAGTGTCCCAACCCCCAAAAGTAAGTGCATGCGTCAAGCAAGGGCCAGTCCTTGTTATTACCAAACTTGTTGAATGGACACTTTTGCCTTCAAAGAGTCAAGAATACATGCCGTGAAACCCATTTGAGGTTTTAGTCACATGCATGCTAAAAACATCACTTTGAGTGTGCTATACTTCAGAGAACCCATACTCTCTCATGAAAGGCCAAACAGTATAAGGAGACCCCAAATACAAATAATGCTTTTATTTAGAATGGTTAGAGAAATTGAAAACTCTTTGGAGAAATAATAATACAAAAGTATACACTAAACTAAAAGTAAAGCAGCACGCTATCTCAAAAGTCACCACACACGGTCACGTGTCTCCCTCTGAATTCAGCGTGACGCTGCAGTGAGCAGATACACAGGCAGGCACTCACCGGTAGTCCCTGGAGACCCGCGTCCCCCGGAGGCCCAGGCTTCCCGGGCTCACCCTAGGAGACAGCATCATAGCCTCAGCTCATGTACACTTCTGAGAAACAGTCTTCATCACAGCAATGAACCTACGTAAACCTCTGCCTTCCTTTTAAGAGTACAACATTTCTAAGTAAAAAGATTTTTCCAACAGCTGACCTTATATGTGCTTGCAAAGTGTTACTTAATTTAAGGGGTGCGTGGGCTAGGACACAGGGCATCAATTTAGCCAAACACACCATCTCCCTCCGCCCACTTTCGTCAATGGGCCACTTCACTGAGTTCCTAAAAGCAACCAGATGAAAAATCCATGTCTGACACTTGATTTGAAAATTAAAGGGCTAGACAAACCTTCTGGAATGCTGTAATGGAAATGCTGTGTTCAGCTGGCCGGGACACAGATAGCCCCATTCCTCCCCATAGTCACACGGATACCCAAAGTGACACAGTCTACCCGAAGTCACACAGCTACTCGAAGTGACTCGGACACCCAAAGTCAGACAGACACCCAAAGTGATGTGGACACCCACCTTTGTTCCTGGCATTCCAGGGATCCCATCTCGGCCATCCACACCCGGCAAGCCCTAAAGACACACGAAGAGGTACACAGTCTTAGAAATACAAGCCTTACTCTTCTTCCCTACTGCATAGGCTAAAGGTTTATTCTGAGCTAATCACCCGGTCAGGACTTACCGCGTCCCCTTTGGGTCCCGGGAGTCCATGCAGTCCCCGAGGGCCTTGTCCTCCCTGTGGGCAGAGGAGAGAACAGACAAGACTGTGCTGTGCAGGCCATGTCCTGGGAGGAGAATGCCAACACCCTGCTTGGGTCAACTGAGCTCACCCTGTCTCCCTTGGGCCCGGCTTCACCCAGAGGTCCTCGCTGCCCTTGGTCTCCCTGTGTGAAAACATGGGCAAATGTTATTTACTCTTGTCTTTTCAAAATTAGAAAACATCACTCATGTTATTCAAACATTGCTCTGTCATTGACTTCAATCTACTGTAGATGCCTAAGTTCAAGAACACTGTTCATACTAAAGCCTTGAAAACTGACATTGCCAGCCAAGTGCCAGTGGCTCACGCCTGTAATCCTAGCTCCTCAGGAGGCTGACATCTGAGGATCACAGTTGTCCCAGACAGGAAAGACCATGAACCACTTACCTCCAATTAACCACCAAAAAGCTGGAAGTGGAGCTGTGGCTCCAGAGGTAGAGCGCCAGCCTTCAGTGAAAACACTCAGGGACAGCACCAGGCCCTGAGTTCAAGCCCAGGACCAGAACACAAAAGAGTTGGCATTGCTATCAGGACTGTGTTTTCATTTGAAATGCACAATGGATGAAGGAAGTTCCACACTACAGCCAGCAATTAGTACCCTGCATATAAGCAATCAGTATGCATCTAAATACAAGCTAATCCTGTGCACTGTGACTGTGATCTAGGTTCCAATTTGTCACCAGTTATTTAATTCCCATCAGTAATAATGATTTCTGTCCCAGCTACCCGGCTCCTGTTACATCTGATTCAAGCAGCCTCACAGAGGAGGTGTGCCTACCTGTGACACAGCTTTTCTGAATGGCCTGACCACCCCTATCCTTGGCTGATTCAGATCAAAGTGCTCAGCTTGGCATTGCACATTCTTCTCTAGAACATGGTTCTCTCTGTCTCCTCAGTCTCAGCTCTAGGAAGTCCCTGGCTCTAGAAAGCAGTGGCATGTGTATGATACTTTATGAAGCATGCTCAGTCCATCCCCTCCTGCCTTCCAACCCAGAATGGTCCTCCAAACCAACCTTCTCTTAAGTCCTCTTGCATGGAGAGGTGGTTCATATGCTCTAGCCCTTGATTTTGTGTGTGTGTGTGTGTATGTGTGTATGTGTGCGTGTGCACACTGATTCTGACCTCTGGGCTTAATATTTTCCACTCATAGTTAGCACTCTAATACTTGAGCCGTGCCTTCTGTTCCAGTTTTTTTATGGGTTAGTTGGAGCTACAAGTTTTGAAGGTTCATCAGCTGCAGCTGGCTCTGAATCACCTTCTTCAGGTCTTGAGCTCCTGAGTGGCCAGGATTATAGGCATGAGCCACCAGTGTCCAAATCTAAGTACTAGATTTTGTAGTGTATCAGTTACACTGGGCTACAGGACCTTGATAGTGAGAAATTCTGTTTATATCTTTCCAACTTTTTCTGTGGGATTACTAATGGATCAGGGTTTTATCTATTTACTTCTGAAAGAGGCTTGAGGCATCCATACATATGATCATCAAAGTATGGGAGAATTAGCTAAAAAACCACAGTAGCAGAAAGTTAGAACAACCCAGACCATGAGTCAGGCTGCCTGATGTCCGAGCAAAAAAGACAGCATAGGAAACAGAAATATTTCAGTGAAATATTTAAATACCTAAGATGAAGATTTAAATGATGCTTACTCTATAAAAATATCAAATTGACACTGGCACCAGTAGCTCACTCCAGTAATCCCAGTTACATTGGAGGTTGAGAGCTGAAGACTGCAGTTCCAAGCCAGCCTGGGCAGGAAAATCCATGAGGCTCTTATCTCTAATTAACCACTGAAAAGTTGCAAGTGGAGCCATGGCTCAAGAGGTAAAGCACCAGCAAACTCAGCTCAGGGATAGTGCCCCGAGTTCGCCCCAAGACAGGCACACATACTTACAAAATCACATTGGAGGACTGTATCTCTGTGCCCAAAGGAAGATCATATGTTTTAAATAAATACAATAACTTTTGACTGTGTTCCCATTCTTAATTATTCACATACACATGCTATTTGTGCATACACACAAATACATGTATTACAATCATCTACTATTGCTGTAAGCACGTGAATACAGACCCCCACTTACCGGTGCCCCAGGGATACCCTGCGGCCCAGGCTCCCCATCCAAGCCCCGAGCACCCTGTAGAAAACAAGACAAGGAAGTCAAACTGACATTGATCATATGCTAAATAACAGAACCATTTTCTTAAAGAAATGAGACAGCCAGATAAGAAGAGAGTGTGTGTTTTAATACAGAGTGCATCAGTGAGCCCCTTGACTATCTAATCAGGTGTGAAACCTAATTGACACCTGCTCATCTCACCCACAGTACCTCAATGACCTCGCTCACACCATGCTGGGTATTTTAAGTTAACATTGCATCGCAACCACAAGATCTAAGAACGCTGGTGCTTACTGGGGCCTGGCGGTCACCTTCTGGGTCTTCAGATGGCTGTGGGGCTTCACCAGTGTGAAGCCTCATCCTACCCCATGGGTGCCCGGACAGTGCCGTGGGAGGGAATCCCAGGACTCGGAGCCTATCCAGATCCCCGTGAAAAGTTAACCCGTGTCATCCAGAAAAGCAAACTCTTAGGAGCCCCCTCTCCTCCTCCCTTCCTCACCCTGGCTCAGGCTACATGTGTGCATGTGCAGTGATGACTTCTCCTGAGCTTCAATCAGCTGCTGACGTGAAAATGGCCTCTGTCTGACTATCTTATTTTCACTATAACAATCAAATGTGATTTCAAAGCAAAAAAACTGTGTTGAGTATTTTCTCAAAATGTTCTTTGACAAAATGTAACCTCATCTTGAAAGTGAATAAGATGTCAGCAAAGTGAGTGAATCACATATGACGATGGGAGAGAGCGGGGCTGAGAACTGTGAAGCAGTCGGTGCGTTCAATCATCATCCCGTGGGAGACCCGGGAGAACACCGTCTGCCATAAGAATTAAAACACAGAAAGCTCTGGATAGCAAGTTCAGACAGAACTACAGGCGAATCATGAGAGGAGCAAAAGGACCACAGAGCCTTGGAAGTGTTCAACCCTGAGCATTAGAGCTGAGCAGGCATTCCAGTCACCAGAGGAGAGGGTTGTAAGATCCAACAAAGAACTTGCATTCATCATTCGCCTTGAATTAGAGGAGTGAGCCCAGCTTGTGCATGATGGAAACGGCTTTAATGGTCTCAGACAGCCCCCTCTGCCTGCCTGCCATCTCAGCACACAGTGAAGGAGTGAATGAACAAAAGGCGGGCGGACAAGGGGGCGGTCAAGCGGGAGGAAGGGAGGGAAGGAAGGAAGGAAGGGAGGGAGGGAGGAACAGAGGGAGGGAGAAAAACAGAAAAAAAGAGAGAGAAAGAGAAAGGAAGGAAGGAAGGAAGAGAGGGAGGGAGGGAGGGAAGGAGGAAGGAAGGCAGGGAGGGAAGGAAGGGAAGGAAGGGAAGGAAGGGAAGGAAGAAAGGAAGGAAGGAAGGAAGGAAGGAAGGAAGGAAGGAAGGAAGGAAGGTTGGTTATTTTAAGTGGCCTAATCTTAATCTTAAAATTCTTAATACCCCGTGCTATGACACAATTATCATCACCATCTTACCTTTTCTCCTTTGTCTCCAACAATGCCAGTGATGCCTCTCAAGCCTTGCATTCCCTGAAATGTAAATGAAGAGTCTGTTATTTCATGTACAGTGTCCACTTCTGAAAGTTTACATTCTATCACAGAAGCTAATCTGGGCATTCGTTTTGATTTTTAATCACCAAGAGTAAGACTATGACTGGGCCTGGTAGCTCGTGTCTGCCCTCCCAGCTACTCAGCAGGCAGCGCTGGAGGCCTGGCTCAGGAGCCTGCCCTGGGCAAAAAGCACAACTGTTTGAAAAGCAAACTGAAGCTAGAATGGCTGGGGTGTGAGTTAGGAGCTAGTGTTTTAGCATAGGATCCTGAGTTCCAACCACAAATACCAGCAAAAAATAAAAATTAGAAAATGGTAACACTAAGAAATAGTCATTCTTTAGCCAATTTTTTCTGGTTAGTAAAGAAAAAAATCCAAGAATTCTAGTGGTGAATTATACTTATATAAAATTTGGTAGGCTTACCCAAACATTATGCCAATTGAGTTGGCACAATTACCAATGTCAGAGCCTATAAAATTTAAAAAAAGATAGTTCAGAGCTAGACACTGGTGGTTCATACCTATGATCCTAGCAACTCAGGAGGCTGAGACCTGGAGGACTGTGGTTTGAAGCCAACCAGCGTTGAAAAGTCTGTGAGACTCCATTCACAGACTAGCCAGCAAAAAGCTGGGCTAGAGGTATGGCTCAAATGGGAGAGCACCAGCCACACAAGCAAACTTCACACCCTGAGTTCACACTGCAATCCCATAAAAAAAATCATGCATCTTTTACATTAGCCACCCCTCTCTCCCATGTGTGAAATAAGCATCCAACTCTTAGCAAAGTGCCAATCTGCACACCTCTCTGAACCCTGTTAAAAGCTTGTCCACTGAGGATGTGCAGTGTAAGCAGCACCACACTGCAGCCTAAGAGACCCACTCTTCATGAGAAGACATGGCTCGTTGGAACTAGACCTCATGCCTGTAATCCTAGCTACTCAAGACACTGAGATCTGAGGACCGCAGTTTGAAGCCAGCCTGGGCAGAGGTTCATGAGACTTATCTCTAATTAACCAGCAAAAAGCTGGATGTAGAGGCCTTGTTCAAAGTGGTAGAGCAAAAAGCTAGGCAAGAGAGAAAAGCTCTGAGTTCAAGCCTCAGGACTGACACATACAAACACAAGAAGACATGGTTAGGATCAAGTGGCACTGTGGTAGGTGTAATGCTCACACACTGGACAAAGTTGCATTAACCCGGTGCTCATACGCCCACGCCAGGCAGGATGCACTCTGCTTCCGTCATCCCATGTAAAAGCACTATGGTATTGAATAAATACACCCTCCTGTGCTCACCATTTGCTTTCCACTCGCCTGGCTCTATATCAGCTATATGGAGAAGGTTTTATTTGCTAAAAAGATGCTCATATGTATAATGGGGACCTTTTTCTTATTTCAACAAAACAATTATCTCCCAAAGACACGTTGGTGAGAAAACAGAGAATATCACGTTCAGACTATTATTTCAAATGCTATCTTGAAGTTACTCGGCATCGTTTTTCGCACATTTGTATATTGTGGATGAGTAGTTTTAAAAGCACATTACTGGAGGGCCTTGAGCGCCAACTTCTCCCAGTTCTCCCTGGTCGCCTTCTTCACCCTGAAAAACACCACCAGTGAGTACAGAAAGAGGCCTGGTGTCTCTACTCACCATGTACATCCACTTGACATCCAGGATTAGTCTACTACACAATCTTACATCAGTTTTGTGGGTAATCCATATTCATCACAGAATCTCAGATACCCTGAGAATACTAACAAATAAAAGCCACTTAAATCCCACCATTCTCCCATAGGTGAAAAGCACAAAGCTCAATAACCGTAACTTTAAAACAATAGACGTGGAAGGAGCAATTCATTATCATTTTTAGCAACAGCTGTTTGAATGAATAAACACTGGTCTATGATGTTGCCAGCCCTGTATCTTACTTATCAAAGTTTCAGTGTCCATTTCTCCATCCGTAAGCAAGTTTAAAATGTTCCTAATCAATTTACAGAATAAATTCAGGGCAAAATTAGAGACTGAATGCAACCTTCCCGCCTCCAGGCTTTGCTCCATCATCAGCCTCCAGCTTGGGGTCAGTCTACCTGTGAGCTGCCCCGCTCATTCCTCAATGACCTGCTCCCTCCATCCTCTTCCCTCCCTTCCCAAAGATACCATTTAAAGCTTGAAATGACACAACCTGTGAGACAATCTGAAGGAATATCAGATTGTTACATTAAATGAAAAAAAAATATGGCCATTTCACAACACTTTCAAAATCAGTTCCCCACTGAAGACAATCCCGGTTTTGGACGACAGATGACTGCCTGTACTGTCAGGGAATGTGCAGGTTCAGGGCAGGATGGAGCATACTTGGTGCCCAAAAGAAGCAAAACAGATGCCGAGGCCAGGAAAGGACCGAAGACCACTGTGAGCTGGGCTGGCTCTGCAGAGCTCCTCACCAGCACATGTAACTTAGGTTCATTCCATGCTTATCTTTATATATAATATATATGTCATATTTAATGTGCCCAGTCCCCTGGGGTTGGACATGCATTCTTCACACCTGTGTTCCCCGCACTTCGCATAAATCATGGCACATATAAACCTAGTAAAATATTTGTCGTATCTTCAAAATTACAAATTTTAAGATTCAATTGGGGAATAGGTATGTGGAGAAATTTCCAAAGTACACAGTATTTTTCCTGTCTTACTCCAATTTAACATCAGAAACCCAGTGTTGCCTTCTAGATAAGTAAAACACTTCAATTATTCACAGACTAAGTAACAAAAGACTTAAAAAATAATGTCCAAACTGTAATACTGTACAGAAAATTGGACTATTTATCCTGATTATGTTATTCAATAGATTAATTTTAGGCAAGGAGTTAAAAGGATACTAATGATTGATGACATTCATGAACTACCTAATCAACTCTTCACTTCTCAAGAAAAAGACCTCACAGCAAGCATTTCTTGAAAGAGAAGAATAAAATATAAAAGATCATACTTCATTACTCTCTATAATATTTCCTTATAGTTATAATTCCAGTGACTACCACTTCCTGATCACAATTTAACAGTTACTTTCCTTACCTTGTGTCCTTGTCTTCCTGGTTCTCCAATTTCTCCTTTGGCCCCTTTATGACCCTGAAAATGCAAAAATCAATAGGTAAAATCATATGAGGCTTGGCACCAAAAGTAGTCAGAAGGTTCATAGCCTGTCATCCTACCTACTCAGGAGGCTCAGATCTGAGGATCTTGGTTTAGAGCCAGCCAAGGCACTCAAATCCAAGACTCTTATCCACAATTAACCAGCAAAAAAAAATCCAGAAGTGCAGCCCGGATGCCCCACAATAGATGAGTGGATACCCCCCCCCAAATGTGGTGCCTATACACAATGGAATTTTACAGGGCCACTATAAAGAATAACATTACATCATTTGCAGGGAAATGGATGAACCTGGAAAAAATCATGTTAATGAGGTAAGCCAAGCTCAGAGACACAAATGACTGTTTTCTCTCATGTGGAGGCTAGATCTAAAATACACCGGATGTGTAAATTATTCAGGACTCTAGCCATTGACACACAGTGAGACCAAAGGAGGACGCTCTTAGGGGAGGAACACAAAGGTGCAATGCCTGTGGCCATCGGGTCATATATAATAATATATATTGAAATGAACTCTAGGAAATGGAAACAGAAGTATTTTTTTCTTTATTGTTTTTCTTTTCTTTTGGTCTTGTTTGTTCATTTCTCTGTCTTTGGGAGAGTAAGGAGGACACAGAATGCACCTGAGGCATTCACTAGACACTATGTGGAAAAATGACTATACAACTTGTAGGTGAGGATGGGAGGGAAAAACTGGGAGAGAGTGAGGGAAAGGGTGACATTGTCCAAAAAGAAATGTAGTACTTGCTTGGCTTATGAAACTGTAACCCCTCTAATCATCCCATAATAGAGATTATTAAATATTTAAAAAAGAAAAAAATAAGCCAGCTGGACACTGGTGGCTCATGCCTGTAGTCCTAGTTACTCAGGAGGCCAAGATTTAAGGGCAGCAGTTTAAAGGTCGTGAGACTCTTAACTCCAATAAACTACTCAGAAAAAGCTGGAAGTGGAGCTGTGGCTCAAGTGGTAGAGCACTTGCCTTGAGTAAAAGAAGCTCAGGGATAGTGCCCAGGCCTTGAGTTCAAGCCCCAAGACCAGAAACAAACAAACAAACAAAAGGCCAGAAATAGAGCCATGGCTCAAATGACAGACTGTCAGCGCGTGCACGTGCGCATGCACATACAGTATGCCACTCTGCTGCCTTAAATGTCCTTATGAGCACCATGTGTATTACACAGATGTTGTATATAATAGATACCAGCTTTAGTTATTTGAAAACCCTGTTCTAGACTGCTCTCACTCCATCAACCAGTTCAGCAGCATGATCTGTAGGTCTGCCTCCTGTGATACCTCTTTCCCCAGCTTGCTCCCTCTAAAGCTGGCTAAGAGCACAGAATCTTCTGCACCCAGAGCTTTCTGGAAGCCACAGTCCCGATCTCACTGGCTCTTACTCTCTGGAGCTGCTCTGAACCCTCCTCCTTATCCTGCTCCTTTCTGAAGGTGAAGGAAAAGCTGGGGTCTAAGTGGGACTCTCAGATGCACAGCTTTCGGCCTCTTTTTGTGCCCAATGTTGAACTTAGGGGTTCATCTTTCCTGTCAAAGTAGTTGTTTGGCCTAAGCACCACTATTTTAAGGGTGGGTTCCATCTAACAAGAAGTTATTTTAATTAAACCGAAACTAAGATTCAGAGATAACAGAATGAAAACCATTGATCTCCAAGGTTTAGCATTTATTCTATTGACTTTATGAAATATTTTGAAGTAATTACGATGGCAGAGTGAGAGAAAAATATAGGAAAGTCAAATCTTTCTGCTTATACTATATAGTTTTTCTACTTTTTAAATCTTAATGAGTCTCAAATAGATGATATATAAACTGCTCCCTACTCCCATGGCTCTTCCTCCCTATGAGGTCCACTTGTGACCCTTGATTTTGTACTGAGTCTCAATCCTTGTGTGTGTTTGCTTGCACACTCATGTACATACATGTGCACAAATACCAGCACTGGGATTAAACTCAAGGTTGGGCACTGTGTCTCAGATTTTTCGCTCAAGGCTGGCACTCTACCGCTTGAACTACAGCCCCACTTCTAGATTTTTTTTTTTTACGGTTAATTGTAGGTAAGAGTCTCAGACTTTCCTGCCAGGACTGGCTCTGAACTATGATCCTCACATCTCAGCCTCCTGAGTAGCTAGGATTACAGACCTGAGCCACCAGCACCAGCAAATCCAGTCTAAAGACTGTGTCTAAAGACACAACTATAATTAAGCACCTGGGTCTCTAGAGCACCTGTCAGGAAGAGCAGCCTCCACGTTGAATCCCCACTACAGACTAAGTAAACTCAGACTTTACCCAGGTGGGGGTCTGTACAACAAGTAGGCCAGTGTTTGAAGTAAAGGCTCCATTTCCACACTTTGGAAAATAAAATAATGAGATTGTTCTCTTACCCTCATGCCTGGTAGGCCTGGATATCCGGAGCGAGCTGGTGGGCAGGAATTGGGACACTGCCGCAGAAAGAGAGAGAGAGAGAGAGAGAGAGAGAGAGAAGGGGTGGGGGATAATCTAGATTCATACTTTACAACAAGGTGGATTTTTCTAAAAGATTCAACATATTGAACCACAATGTACTATTGACATTGAATAACTGAAAATGTTTATAAAATTTTACTTTTATGCTCAAATATTCTAGTTGAAGGAAGTTGACAACACAGCAAACACATTCCATGTCAACCATCTATATTTAATAACTATTAACATTTTGCCACATTGATCTTAAATCCAATGATTAAGGATATGAAATGATAGCTGGATTCGGGTGTCTCTCTCCTGTAATCACAGTTACTCAGGAGGCTGAGATCTGAGACATCGAGGTTCAAAGCCAGCCCAGGCAGGAAAGTCCATGATACTCTTATTTCCAATTAACCACCAAAAACCCAGAAGCAAAGGTGTGACTCCAGTGGTTGAGGACCAGCCTTTAGCACAAAAAGCTATGGGACAGCACTAAGGCCCCAAGGCCCCAAGGCCCTGAGTTCAAGCCCCAGTACTAACACACACACACACACACACACACACACACACACACACACGAGTGTGCCACAGCCGTAATACCATGGGCCTAGACCATCTCCCTCCACTTCCCTTACCAAATGGCCAAAATGGCACATATTACGGCACCCATCATCATTGTGGTCTGTATATAAATCAATGCCTAAAACTGGGTGCTTTAATGAAAATCACATCTTAGGCATGAAGTCTACAGAAGAACAAACCACTGCAATAATGAAAATCTGCTATAGCCTGACTGGGAATAAGCCACAGCATCCTCTTGCTTCAAACTGTTCTGACATGTCAGGAAAAGTAAAATGCAGAAGCACAAAACATTTCAATGACAGTTCATCTGACAACTAATGGCCTCTGAATTAAAACTATATTTTCTTCAAGGAAAAGTATCTTACCAGTGGATCTCCATCATGAAATCCAATTGTTCCCTAAAGCAAATAAAATGGGAAAGTTAGGACTATAAATAATTAACTCAATCCTATTACTATAAATCCCCTGAGCAATACTGTAATAAATATATCTGTTTCATAAAATGCAAGAGAGAACTAGCAGCATACAATATGCTGATATGCTGAGGACTGGACTCAGGATCCCTACTGCAAACTCCTCAACTGCAGTAATGATTTCTTCAGGGAGATAAGATGAGAGGCAGAGCAGAAAAACAGAGAGATTGCTCAGGTCCAAATTAAAACACAGATTATCTCCATATTTTAATTCCTATATTTTAAATTTGTTAGTATGAAATCTTAGTAAAAACTAGTTCTTTCAAAACTTCTTTTATATGAGCATTTGGGAAATCTCACGGGTCAAAGACTTCAAAGGTAGTGAGTGAGACTTGCTCTGTGAAAATCACTTTTCCCTTGATTGTGTTCCCTCTGCTTTTCTGCCCCTAAGAGGAAGAACGGTGCTCTGATGGCATGAAAAACTTGGTAGCCATTTCAGAAGTGCGGGACAATGGCCCAGTGAATATGCACTTCCATTTTTGGTTCTTACAGTACTTCAATCCCCACACTTGGAGCAAAGAGAAAATCAAGCTGCAATAACTTACGCTGGGCCCTGGAGGGCCGGGGGGCCCCGGGGGTCCTCTCTTCCCAGGGTCACCCTAAAATCATCAGAAAATTGAGATACAGTGGTTTCACAAAGATCAAACACAAAACAGTAAACCACAAAGGCATGTGAAAATGTATTACTCAAAACCCCTACAGAGCTCAATCATGCATAAAACCTGCCACCAAGGTCCAATTTAGTTCCATAAAACCAAATAATAGAGGCCTAAGATCATCAAAGCATAAAATAAAACTATGGGAGATTCAGGGAAAAAAGGAAAACCACTTTTGTTTTCTATATGACGATTAATCTGCTCTGAAAACAAACTGGAATTCCTTTGTGTTTCCCTAGTTGACTGACAAGGAACTAGAACAGTCCATACTGCTAATGCCATCAGATGACTGGAGCAGAGAGGAGTGCTCAGCCAGGCTGAAGCTGGGACAGGGGTGGGGCTGCAGGCCTCTGCGGGGCCTGAGTCTTGTAGCTGAGGCTCATAGGAGCTCCAGCCAGGCTGAAGCTGAGAGGGGGTATCAAGCCTCTGCCGGACCTGAGCCTTGCTCTGAGTCTTGTAGCTGATGCCCATCTAGTCCCTCACTTCGTCTGTCACTGGATTCTTGCAATGGAAATAAAAGCAAAGAAGGCTAAATTCAAATAAGCTGTTCAGATAACAATAGATGCCAAGCCAGTTTGGCAGACTCTCAACTGTAACCCCAGCTACTCAGGAGGCTGAGATCTGAGGATCATGATTCAAAGCCAGTCTGGCCACGGAAGCCTGTGAAAGCCCCAAAAAGATAGGAATGGAGCTGTGGTTCAAATGGCCAAGCACCAGCCCTGAATAAAAAAGCTAAAACACAGCACCCAGGCCTTGAGTTCAGGCCTTAGTACTGGTACAAAAAAAAGAAGTGGGTTTACTCTAAACATTTAATGTTCATGCTCATTAGTAATATTACTCTTGTCTACATGTTTTCCTTCTTGATGTTATGCCAATAAAAAGCACGAAACATCTTATAATTACTTTAAATATACAATCATTTCATATTTTTTTGCTCCGTAAGTGAATTTGCAAATAAAAAGCTCATGTAGAAAAACAAGAAAGGTGCTGGGTTCAGTGTGTGGTTCAAGTGGTAGAGCACCTACCTAACAAGTACAATGCCCTGAGTTCAATCCCAATGTGGTCAAAACAACAACAAAAATAGGGTATATAATATGGCACTCTTTCCCTAAATGAGTTTTCAATGATCTATCTTCTCATAACATCAGTACTTCAACTTTTAGGGTGTATGTGCAGAATATCTCCATGAAGCCCTTTTGCCAGAAAGAGCTCTGTGAAGTTTACCTCATTCGTGTTTAAGTGTTTAAGTTAAACTTTAATAATCTACACATGAAAATGAATAGGCTACTTTTTATAACATGTGGGAAATCTCACATAAAGCCTCTGGACCCCAATCCTAGCTGAGAGTCTAGTAAAAGGGTTCACCCCTTACTTGGGGAAAATAGTCTATCTGAAAACTTGCACAAACAAAAGAAACAAAAAACAAACCACACATTAAATTCCCTTGGTAGCATTTTCATCCCATCAATATGCTGAGCTGGAATAAAATTCACCTGTCATCTTTGGAGCTTCAGGCAGAAGCGTGGAGTGAGGATGATTGACTCTCTGTGGTAATAGTGTTAGCAAGTCAGCAAAGACCTAGCACAGTGCAGCGGGTACTCACACTGGGTCCAGCACGGCCGAGTTCTCCGGGGAGGCCTGATGTCCCAGGAGGGCCCTGTGGGCAAAGCAACAGGTGACTCCTAGCACTGGCAGAACTGAGAATCTGTGCCAGAGCTGGCTCCCAATGAAGCACTAACATCTGAGAAACCTCTAATGACAAATAGAGCAGAAATCTCCTACATTTGTAAATATTTTCTTTAGCAGAAGAATAGAGGATGATCTTGAGCAGCTACCTAAGGTCACTTAGAAAACCCTATACACTTCACTGGTGGGAGTGGAAATAGCAAAGCCAGACCAGATTTAAGAAGTAGATCATTTTTTTTAACACATGGTATTTCCAGAACGATGATGTGATACGTACAGGGGGTCCAGGAATGCCACGGCCCTGAAAGAGTAAGATAAAATGTTCATGGTGAGCATATCAGACCCAAGTACAGATGCACACAGTTACATAAAACATTCATGGCGAGCATATCAGACCCAAGCACAGATGCACATGGATGTGAGCCACGGAAAACCAGAGGGCCCTAACACTAAACATGCATACTCATCCTAAGAAATGAAAAGGAGCAACTTGCCCTGCTCCTAAGCTATGCTAAAGACTTCATGCTTGCAAAGAGAATCAAAGTGAAGAAGGCTTTGGTGCTGATCATCAGAGGGTTTATGCCATTCTAGGCAGATCACAACCAGACCATTGTAAATCTTTGTTAGTTTACAGTGTTTTATTGATATTATTAATTACAGTGTGCATAAAGAATCCTACACCTGAGACAATGTAGTTTTACAGGTTGTAATAAAGGAGGTTTAGAAATCTCCCTAAACATGCTATCGTCATAGAAAAGCGGAAAAAAAGATTTAAAAAATAATTTCCATTTGACAGGTGGAACTACATTTCTAGACACAAAATCTAGAAATATTATTTTAAAAATCTAGTAGACATTAAAAAATAAAGCGCTACAATCCTGAAGTCACCTACAATGAGATCCTAATTTGACTATGTTAAATATATTTTTTATTTATTTAGTGCCAGTACTGGGGCTTTGAACTCAGGGGCCAGATGCCGTCCTTTAGCTTTTTCACTCAAGGCTGGCACTCTACCACCTGAGCCACAGCTCTACATTTGGCTTCTTGCTGATTAACTGAAGAGTCTCACAGACTTTTCTACCTGAGCTAGTTTTGAACCACAAACTCAGATCTAGGCCTCCTGAGTAGCTAGGATTCCAGGTGTGAGTGGCCAGCACCCAGCCTGTTTTTGTTTTGTTTTGTTATTTTTTGTTATCTTTAAGTAGTTGTACCAAGAGGTTTCGATTCCACATGTCAGTTTTTTGAGTGCAATCATTGCACCTTGATCAATGTTACCCTGTCCACATTCTCCACTCTCAATCTGCCCCAAGTTAAATTTGATTTTAAAGTTAGTCATTCTTCCCCCTCTCCTTTACATTTCCTAACCCTTATCAACACCAGGCTACTGGCAATCAGGGACTGAAGCCACATTCTGTTCATTTCCAAGCACAGAGCTAGTCTGTTACCGACTGAGAATGTGCTTGCTATGCTGAAAACTGAACCCTCGCTGGGTTTTCTACCTTCGAGTTCCAGTTTTAATTCCCCTTTGGGATTTCTTGTTATTCTTTCTCCTGCCCACACTGGCTACAATAGCATTTATTCACAGCTATTTGATATCATCTTCCTGATAGCTTTCATTCCAGTCTTGCTTTCCAGCAATCTCCATAGTAAAGAATCACCCAGAATCCACACGGGGCCTGTGGTAGTGACACTGTTCTTTCTAGTTATTGAGACAACCAAAACAAGAAGTCACCCAAGCAGGAGTTCTTCATAGTATGCTAGGCTTCTCAAAGTATTCTTTGAAACATTCCTCATGTGTAAACATAGATCAGTTTGAGAAGCAAGTGTTATGACTGAATATAACAATGAATCATGTATTTCATTACTAGAATTGGATGTTGGACAGATTTCTCTATAAGGTTGATATCTGAATTAAACAGAATATTTTGCTGCTGGAAAATAGGCAGCCAGTGCAGAAACTCACAGGTGCAATGAAACAGTACACATTGGGGAAAAGGAGCAAAAACATACAGATGGATGACAAGAGCAAAAGAGAAATAAAGGAGGAAAAGCAGAAAGGAAAAGTCACACTGACATGCCAATGTAGGACTGGGTGGTGGTGGAAGACTAGCCTACGAATTAGAGCGGCGACAGTCTTTCACTGGTTGAAATTACACTCTTGATAAATCCACTTGTGATAAACCCACTTGTGAAGACTGCTGTGAAGCATGGTCTGACCATTCGTAGTTAGGCCTGCTGATTTTATGCAAGGAATGTTTTCTAGAAATGAGGTAGAGAGGATGTTGTTTACAGAGAAATACTACCAGCAAATAGAAATATGCACTTCATACCATACATTCAAATATCTCTAAGATTTTTCCACTCATAATAGGAACATTGACCACACTGGCTAAGTCATAAGGTTCTTCCTTATGTCTTAAGTAGAACTCTGCATTAACTGTTGCTGACAGCATATGTCAGAATTTTACCTAAGAATAGGAGGCTTCCACTTACGTGGTCTTGTAGCTACTTACAGGAAATCCTCGAGATCCAGGAATTCCAGGCTCTCCCTAAAAAATAAAGGGAGCTTCGTTGCACTTGGCTTTCATAGCACAAATATATCAACAGGCAAACTGCACAGATATTGAAACCATTAAAACTATCTTGGTATTTTTAGACCCAAACTTTTCTGGAAAAAGTGTTTATCTGACTTGTAGTAGTTTAGCTGACTTGTATTGTTTATTTTAAAATATTTTAGCTTATTTGAAAACACTACAGTAAGAGGATACTTCAGCATTTCATCCCAACTCACAATTAGACTGTGGCTCACTTACTTTTTGGCCTCTAGGTCCAACAGAGCCAGGAGATCCATCAGGTCCTGTTAGTCCCTGACAAAGCAAGATCTGATGTTAGAGCCACATTGCACTTGTAGGCAGACTGCTAGGCAGAGCTTCTTCATTTTGTTGATTATCTACAGGATGGTTGCATTATGTATAATGCAAATATTTATAAAGTAATACTGCCCCATGCTCTTACTCAAAAGTAACATTTGGCATGAGATCTGCTTGCTGCTTATTTTCTATTTAAAAATTATAATATATTCCTAAATTTCTGGTAACTGTCCTTTGTCAGGAGGTTCAATAATCCCATATTGCCTTCTGTGTCTGCTTGGAGACAAAGCAATTACAATGTCCTAATCCCTAAGTCTATAAGTATAATGTCCTAACCCCTAAATCTATTATTTATGGTCCATCAGTTTTGCATTTCTCTACATTAATTTTTCTGACAACTCCACAGAGTGGATCAAAGAAATCAGAAAAGTATTTTAAAATGATAGGTGCTGGAAATTTGCTGAAGACAAAAATTATTAAACCACATGCAAAGGAAATTTCAACAAACTGTCTCTGATTTTGTCTTTTGCCTAACTACAGCTCTATAATCTGGCCACAAGCCCGGACACAGGTGCTGAGCTCTGGGGAGGTGAAGGTCATCTCCACGTTTCAACAAAGAGAACGCACAATGGGAGCACGCCTCACCCCTTGTGCAGGGCGCAAAAGTCAGAACCCTCGGCCCTCTAACTCCACCTGCTTTCCCTCCAGCGCCCATCTCTGCCCATGTTCTGCATGCAAGTAGCTCATCTTCTTCCACGGTGACTGGGTTGACCAATAATGATAACGGGCAATAGCTACTCCAATAATGGCTGGACCACCCAAAGGCCACCTCCAGCAATAAATCATCCGTAGAGTGTGGTGAGTTGAGTCTGTCACTGGAACGTTCTTTGAATTAAGCTGAGGATGGACTGTGGTATTGGCAGCACAGTGGCACCAACCCCATGGGAAAGGTAGCCCCTTGGGACACGGTGGACCCCATGTCTGCATCCGGTCTAGCCAGCACACAGCACACTCAAAACCAGACACTGAATAGAATGAGCATAGCTGGTGTTCAAGAAGTCGGGGTATCACTCTGTCCTTCCTCAGCAGCTGTATTTTGGGCTCCGATCCTGACTGCTATGGGGTGGCTGTGCAGCTCTGGGCAGGATGTATGACCCTGAGCTTGAGCCTTCCCATTCCCACACGAAACCTCAGCACTGTCCTTCTCCGTAACATTACCAAAACACAAGCTTCACAATCAGCCAAATAAGAAAGTGGAGGTTTAAGGTCTTTGAGTTCACCACTAAGGAAGCAATTTGGAAGCTTGTCAGCTTGCTTGGTTTCCTTATAGCCAGACATAAACCCAAGAACCTGTGGTCTAGTTTCTATTTCATTATTCTCAAAATGTCCATTCTTAATTACAGTTTAAAAAAAAAGTTTTAAATGTTAAATCAACCAAAGAGTAGAAGAAGAAAAGTGTAAGTTCCAGAAGTCCTGAGTTGCTTCAACCCAAAAGTTGCCGTCTATAAAACATACCAATAATTACAATGATAAAATAAAATCATTTATAAAAGATTAATAGACACTGACTTATCAATATCATTATTAATGTAAAAATCATTGTCATCACTGTCCTTCCTGTTTTCTCCAATTGTTCACCTATTAAGAACCTCAACTTTATCTGCATGAGGCAGACCTGAAGAGACTGAACAAAAAAAATTACAGAATAGGTCTTATTTTGCTTATTTTCCTGAGTAAACCGCTGTTCTATTATTATTCAGTTTCCTTATGTGTGGGAAACAACATTAGACCAATGGCCTTTACAGGTTATCTAAATCTAAAGGAAATAATATCGTAAAAATACTTGCAAAAAAAATCACTAAACCACTTCCAACAGTTAATTTCTCTCTTAGATGTACGGCTTGGCTGACACCCTGGAACATGTCTGGATTTTCTCCTTTTATCTCCCTCCTCCCTCCTTTCTTTTCTTTTTCCTCCCTCCTCTATACCCAGAGACTGTGTCACTGCCCTGCCCTGTTTCTCCCAGAGAACCAATCAATGTCAGTCCACTGATCTGAGAAACCATACTCTTCACAACTTTTAATATTTGAAATGTGGTTTGCTTTGCCTTGTGGAGCTGTAAATATAGACAAGGAAAAATATTTATCATTGCTTTTAAATTGTACTTTTATAAATTTAAAAGCATTTTTGTGTGTCCAAAATTTCTGTGGAAGTGAAGCAGTGTAACGCAAGATCAGGGCCAGCCTTTTGATGTTCTGAGATGAGCAAGGCCAAGCATGTGTGAAGCAAGCTCTGAAGCAGCAAGCTACCAGGCACTGTGAGCCTGAGGACCTGGCCCGCACAGCCCTGCCATCGAAGCACATTGGAGGGTATGTCAAGAAGAATGTTCCAGACAGCCCCGACTACACAGAAAGCCTCCTCATAAATTACATACACACATGCACACACACACAGGAACTCACTAACTGGTGGACAGGTAAGTCTAACACTCTATCTGAAATTACACTGAATCTAAGCAGAAACCCTGGTTTGTGCTTCCACTCCTGAACTGTTTTTAATGTGATCGGAACTTATCTTCTCACCTGACACCAAAGGTGAAGTTTCAAAACAGAAGTAAAAATAAATTCAACTGGTGTTAAGCTATTAGCTTTCTCGGTGACCTGTATTTATCAGACATTTTGATCATCCTCTGACAGCTTCAAGTAATTCTATTCCACAAAGCCTGACCGCACTCTCATTGATGTTCTCAGTTGGTGTGGTCTGATTTGATTGAAGCCCATGAAACCTCTGTCCACCCCCGACTCCACTCCACCACCCTGGGCAAGGCTAGGAGGAGAGGGGCATGCAGGTAAGCTGGGCGGGGCACACAGGTGAGCTGAACAAGGGGCTGGGCCCTGCGCAGGTGAGCTGGGCAGGGTGCACAGGTGAGCTGCACCCAGGTGAGCTAGGCGAGGGGTGGGGCATGCAGGTGAGCTGGGATCTCTGTGAGAGTCAGGTGCAGGCGCTGAGTCAGGTCAGTGTTTGCTGGGGTATTGTCAGCTGCAACTCGTCCACGCTCATAGCCGTCTCTGTCTGTCTGCCTGTGTCTGACTCTCTCTCTCTCTCTCTCTCTCTCTCTCTCACACACACACACACACACACACACACACACTGGCTAGGCGAGCTGCTCATCAATACTCCTACTCACATCTGCCCCTGGCGTGCCAGGCTTGCCCGGTGCTCCTGGCTTCCCAGGTTCTCCAGCAGGACCCTGCACAGGGAGAGCAGGGACAGAAAACAAGGCACAGTTGAGACTCTGGTCCTGTGTGTCTGCAAACACATCTATCCAGCAGGGACAGGAAACGGGGCACAGTTGAGACTCTGGTCCCATGTGTCTGCAAACACATCTATCCAAAGGTGGTGGGGCGCCGTGTGCCATCAACTCACCGGAAGGCCGGGTGGGCCCTTTGGGCCTCGGTCACCCTGGAGGCAGAAGGGGAAAAGTAAGGACATTTGTGAGTGTGACAGGCCAGACGTTTTGCTAACTCACCTTGCTACCTCACTTTAGATATGAGACCAGGATTGGGTGTGGGGCAGAAGACGGAGGGACATGACCTTGGGATGGCAGGGCAGGGGTGAGGGTCCGTCTCCCCCCTGCAAATCCACAGGCTGCAGGATCCAACCATGAACCTTCCAGCCCCTTCCACCCCTATCCTAGTGGGGAGTCAGGAAGGGGAGACCTGGTCCCTCTAAAAGTCCATCCAACCCAAACAAGTGAAATAAGAGCAGGACAGCACAAGACTGGGGCGCCGAGGGGAAACACACAGAACCTGGACAAGGAAACTTACATCCACGCCATCGATGCCAGGCACTCCAGGTGGCCCCGGGGGCCCAGGGGGGCCTTGCTCTCCGGGAGGACCTCTCTGGCAAAAACAAAACAGCACACAGAGTCAGCGAGGCCCCGAGCAGGGCCCAGGCCCCACGCTCTGGGCTCCCTGGATGTTTGAAAGCCAGCCCAACACATGCACTTTCAGGGTCACAGGGGTTGGGCGCTGCCACATTCTGAATGGGGTGGGTCAGCACTGCCCGGGACACCCAGGAGGGTGGAGGAGGCCTCACCGGCCTTACCTCCTCAGGGCCCAGGGAGAAGAAGGAGGGGTGAGGAAGGGAGGGTCTGATGCCTGGTGTCCCTAAAAGGGAGTGGGCAGCACCAGCACCTTGATTTTAATTAGAAACTGCAGGGCAGAGATTTGGCAGGACTTGACAGGAGCTGAATGTAAATCTTTGGTCCTGTAGAATGGGGTGGGTGACTCTCCAGGCAAAGGCTGGGAGGGGTGGGGGCAGGGGCTCCTGGCCCAGGGCCAGCCTCTCTTCAGGTCTACCTGCCAGGGAGCCATGGCAGGGGAGGGGGGAAGGGGTGCAGACTGCACCAGCTTCAGGCGCCTGGCCCCCAGCCCAGGCAGGCGCTGCCTTTGAAGGCACCCGGGAGCCTGGCCTGGCGTCTGAAAAGCAGCCCTGCTTAGGGAATGAGCAGGGTTTTTTCTGCTTCTGAATTTGAGTGAGTGAATGGAGGGGGAAAGAAAAAGAAAGCGTCTTTCATGAGGAAAACTTTGTTTTTCTAAACTCCCAAGGCCAGGCCGATTACAATGGGATCTTTGTAAGGGAGCTAGAGTCCTCTCTGCTGGGTCTGCCCAAC